CAGGTTCCCAATCTACACAGGGTTTAGTTTAGACAGGTTCCCAATCTACACAGGGTTCAGTTTAGACAGGTTCCCAATCTACACAGGGTTCAGTTTAGACAGGTTTCTAGTCTACACAGGGTTTAGTTTAGACAGGTTTCTAGTCTATACAGGGTTTAGTTTAGACAGGTTTCTAGTCTACACAGGGTTCAGTTTAGACAGGTTTCTAGTCTACACAGGGTTTAGTTTAGACAGGTTTCTAGTCTACACAGGGTTTAGTTTAGACAGGTTCCCAATCTACACAGGGTTCAGTTTAGACAGGTTCCCAATCTACACAGGGTTCAGTTTAGACAGGTTTCTAGTCTACACAGGGTTTAGTTTAGACAGGTTTCTAGTCTACACAGGGTTTAGTTTCGACAGGTTTCCAATCTACACAGGGTTCAGTTTAGACAGGTTTCTAGTCTACACAGGGTTTAGTTTAGACAGGTTTCTAGTCTACACAGGGTTTAGTTTAGACAGGTTTCTAGTCTACACAGGGTTCAGTTTAGACAGGTTCCCAATCTACACAGGGTTCAGTTTAGACAGGTTTCCCATCATGTACATCTTGGATGCACCGACTTTTCTTGTTAAGTATTGTGAAATGATGACCCTTTGGCATTCTTGTTATCACTTGAGAGACACTGAATAATACATATTTTTTGTTTTTGATATACATATCTTATTTCATGTTTTGTGATTACAGCAAAATATTGAATGTATCTCATGAGATAGTGAATTACATTATCATATCCATTTCAGTTCATCTAAAGCAGTTTGATTTCACTGTTGGAAAATAAAGCTTCATCAAATGTACAGACACAGATTGGCACAGCCATTAATGCTATTTGTATATTGAAGTCAGTTCCTTGCATCCTTCATTGATATTTTGGTGAAGAGAGGGGGGGTTGATAACTTGCTCGATCACAAAACAACGAAAACTGAGCTATTTATTCTTCAGCTAAGGGCATGGTATATGCAAGTCACCAAGCAAGTCCACTTAGCCTTGTAATAATTATCTATTCATGCTCACATGCATCTGCATATATTAGCACATATGCTGACGTAAATAATAGAGGTGTGCCCATAGTCAAAATAATGACACAATAGATGTAATGTTTGGGTTTTATGTGCTTCTATTGGAGATGTGCCTCTAATATAGTGAATTTGTTAAATGTAATTGTGTCATGCAAGTACGAAAATGTGGTTCAGTTTACAGCTTTCATTTCAGACAGGCCCAGCTGTAGTAAGATGTGAATATTAAAAATAAATATTATTTTGTGATTAACTTGAAAGCTTATTAATTCATTGTTTTTTTTTCTTGCTGTCTTTTCACTTATTAGGAAGAACAAAACAGGGGAAAACCAAACTGGGAACATTTGAATGATGAGCTTCATGTACTCATTGTTGTAGAAGATTCAAAAGATCGCGCTGAGATGAAACTAAAGCGAGCGGTTGAAGAAATTAGAAAGTTGCTCGTGCCAGCCGTAAGTAAACATGTCATGGTAGTTTCTCCCCATCCTTTATTTGCCCCTAGTTCTGCTGTAGTTTCTTCTTAACTTGGAGAGTATTTTCCATTTATCCGGCTGATTTAATCTTGTTCCTCTCTTCCTGTGTGCTCCTCGCCACTGTCAATACAATCTCATTAGTTTTACAACACCTGCTCTAAGCATAAGCTAAGATCATTCATATTATAGAATAGAAAATCAAAATCCTTACAAGTATTTCCTGCACAACGATAGTAACTGTATTTGCATATGATTTCAGGAATTGAGTAACAAGAACTTTCATCATATTAGAGTCTTGAATGGAATAGCTAGGGTACTCACTTAGTGCTTCTGCAATATAATTATAATTTAAATCAGTTTAAAAGCTGAAGCTAATGTTCCATACACGTCTACTGATATTTGTTTTTTAACTGGCTGCCTTGCCACTCTCTATAGCCAAGGGCAGTCTGTGCTTCCGAGAGTTTATTTAATTTTAAATTAACCCAGGTCAAGTTAGAATTAACGAATAAAAAAAACATCAGAGCAGAGCAGAGGTTAAATCTCGTGTGATCCATGGACGTAGATCAAACTGTTTTCAACAGTGAACACTGCCCTGTAGACGCATTACTCTTGCATGTTGAAATTATAGTGGGATTTCAGTAAAATTTCACTGGAAAATCAGGTATTATATTTAGTAGTACAAAACGTTTAAAAGTTTGGAGGTCCCTCGGAAAAAAATAAATGTGCCAATGTGACCTCACACATTGCTATAATTTGTAATGATGGTTTGGAACCTATATTACAAACAGCTTGATCACCCTAACCTACAACATTTTAAGGAGAATTATCACTTTTTGTGTCAGATAAGATTTTTGAGAAATTTCAATTTTATCTTTGTGTGTGCTATTTTTAGCTCTGTTAGCTCCGTTTGTCGAGCGGAGCTTATCATATGAGTGATTGTCAGTCGTCGTCCATGTCAATGTTTGATATTTTTGACTTCTTCTTGAAAACTACAAGCCTGAATGCTTTGATACTTGGTGTATATGTACCTTGGGTAGACCTCTCTCAGATTTGTTCATTTTGTAATGATATCTTTAATTCTCTAATTTTGGTGAATATTTTTGTCATTTTTGGTAAAAACTGATATTTTTGACTTCTTGTTAAAAATCGCAAGTCCAATTGCTTTGATATTACATTATAACATATATAGGTACTACATGTGGACCTCTCTCAGATTTGTTCATTTTGTAATGATATCTTTAATTCTCTAATTTTGGTGAATATTTTTGTCATTTTTGGTAAAAAGTGATATTTTTGAATTCTTGTTAAAAACCACAATCATTTATGGTGAAAAATTATATTTTTGAATTCTTGTTGAAAACAGCAAGTCCCCGTGCATTGATACTATGCATATTGTTCATTTTTTAATGATATCTTCTGTTCTTTAATTGAAATGTGCATTGCTAACAGCAGAGCTATCTCAGCCGAGAGGCTGCTTGTTTTTATTTCTGCTGGAACAAATTAGTCAAAGACATATGGCTGTTCTTACTATATACCTACTAAATCTCTTCCTGCTCCAAGAAATTGTTTATTGTCTGCTACTTTCATCAGACATTCACCTGTCAGTCATTAATCATTTGGCTTCTAGACAGGCAACTAAATTTCACTGAATTGACCACATTCTGAGCATATTTTGCATATTTCTGAAGTATGCTGAATTCTGAGCATTCTCTGTGCGGTCTTCTTTAGATCTAATGCCATATGGTGGTTTTTAAAGAGTGACAAGTGTGAACATCTACTGCCAACTGTGTTATTACAGTGTACAAGAGAGAACTTGACCTGGGATGCAAGAAAGTTCATTCTGAGTTCAGATATAAAATGTTGACAAACACCCTCTGTTTTATCCTCAATTGATGCATTTCTCTCTTTATCCTTAGTTTTCAACACCAGACTTTCTCGCCAAAATGTGTTTTCAATTTTTTTCTTGTATACTCCAATATTTCTGGAAATGAACCCTAATTTTGGAGCCAACAGTCAAAATTTGAGTACATTTTTCAGCTTTTACTCAAAAAATTTGGCTATTTTGGTCTCAATCTTCTGACAAAAAGTGCAGACTAAAAACAGGATTAATTTCTGAATTTGTGATAAAAAGAGGGTGAGAACGACTGCACTTACTGATCTGTTGAACCATAATTTGTTGGAGCATTAGAAACTCTGAAAGAAAAAATTGCTTATTATGATATTTTGTTTTTCTTGGGCAGTGCTTCTCCCCACCCCCCACCCCCGATATTCTAATGGCCAACCCCTTAAAATAACAGACAAATTACAGGAATCTAATCTTAGCTCTGTCAGTTTGCAGTATTATTCATTTATGAAAATAAGATTCAGTATAAATTGGCCTTGTGGCTCTCTGCATGCAGTCCCATGCTGTCTGTAGCCACCACACATTTCTACATTCATTCATGGTGCAATACAGTTGTTGGCCCAGTCTTGCTGTGTGATAGTCTTCCATTACAAGGCCAGCCTTTGTTAGGGCAATGTATAAGATTCAGGATTTGCTGGGGAACTTTTCTTCTTTTTCAAAGGCAACAATAATGGTGTTTCACTTGATGCAAACTAAATAATGAATCATTGCATAACAAAAACATAAAAAGCCAAACCATTTTAACCAGTTTTTTTTACTATTTGTGTAATTTTTGTTGAGTATTCCAATGCCATAATTTTTTTCGCCAAAAAAAGTGTTTGGTTGCAACATTTTGCACATTTTATTAATTTCACATATTTTTCTTTTTCATTAAATTTTGGATCAATTGAACATAATTTCCAATCGATGGTATGATGACATAAACATTTTTATTTTAAAATTGAAAAAAAAAAAATCATTTTGACGGAAGTAGACTGCTGATCAGGTAATTGTCATTTGAATAGCTGTGATTAATAAAAACTAACATCATAAAGTAAGACTTCTTCAGCCTGACAGTCAGTAATTTGTCTAGTAGGTTAGAGACAACGTCAAAAGAATGATGTCTGATAAAAAACTTATTTCTTTATTTTTTTTCCAAACTTTTTGAGGTCAAAAACCCTCCACTCCCAAACTAAAGCAAATAAGTTTTTTATCCGACATCGATCTTTTGACGTCTTTCCTTACAATCCTTGTTTTCTGTCTGTCTGTCTGTCTGTCTGTCTGTCTGTCTGTCTGTCTGTCTGTCTGTCTGTCTGTCTGTCTGTCTGTCTGTCTGTCTGTCTGTCTGTCTGTCTGTCTGTCTGGATTTTTGGTATAGCCAGTAACTCTTAGAACCAATACACAGTTTGCAGGATGTAATATTATCAACTTTAAATTTAGTTAATTAGTAGGTATTATCACTTGATATGATCCAAAGTTTTAAGTTTCACACGATTCCTACCAATTAGTTGACCTCTAAATTTCAGAATTGTTCAATTTATTATTTCAATTTGAAGGATTTATCAATTTTCCATCTTGTCACTTTCAACAGCCATATTCATGAATATTTTGGGAAATTTTCATGAAAACATGCAATCGTCTTTTACTTTTCAAAACCATCCCTGGCATCCAGGTTGATATCTTTTCCCAGCCCATCTCTTATTCCTGACCCCACAGCTAATCTAAACCAGGTCTTGGTGTCTGATCTGTTTATTAGTCCTCTCTGGCCTGTTACTTGATCTGCATTAACTTAATGTATCAGGAGGCAGCTGTCCATTCCTCTTGCAATTGTCAGTGATTTACACCATCTCGTATATAGTGGGCCCACTACTGTAGGCGTTTGTTATGGCAAAGACAGACATGTTTATGGAAGAAGATGCAAACATTTACAAATTTGCCAGAGGAGTAAATGATAGCTAGGCAGCTGCCTGCCATATATATGCTGTGGTGATAGAAGGGTAACTGCATATCTGAGATGGTAGGCATATTAAAGGAAATAACTAACATACCATAGCGATCATCCTTGAATCCGAGCTGCCCCTAGTGGATAGAATTACTACTTGTCTCTGATCCCATTGTGATTCTCAGCTGTTCGACCCGTACTAAATTAACTATTAGTTATGCAAATTTTTTTAGGGCAAGAAATAAAAGCATTATATTTTGGGGCTGATTCTATCTGTTACCATTTGTAGTGTCTTAAAATATTCGGTACTTAGCTGAAAACAACACATGGACAATCCAAACACCTTAATTAACCAATGCAACAAGATTAGAGTTGGTGGATTTCATGTTAAAAATGAAAGTAGAGGGGGGGTCAAGGGTTATTTTCGTTCAACGTAATTGCAATATTTTTTTGTTCGTACTACGTAAATTGAAAAAATAAATTCCGTAATTCTGTAATCACAGGCTAGACGTACAACGTAATCGATCAAATATTTTTTTCGTACACTGTAATTTTTCTCGGTGTGTACAAGAATTTACATCCAAATAAAAAAATCGTAAAGAATAATCCAGGGAGATTGCATTATAGAAACTGTAAAACTACTAGATGATACAATTTACTACAAAATTGAATGTCAAGACGTAAAAGGCCCTCTAACCGAATGAAGAGCATTACAAGGGTAATATGCGCGTGCATCTATACACACGGCGCAGCAATGGCGGAGAATTTGAGCCGGAGAGCTCTTCGGACCATTCAATGTTCCTTTTTTTAACACTGTAAATTGTAAAAAGCCTTTTTTATTTCTCGTAAAACCGTACCAGCTACCCCCCTTGCCTCCCCTCAAAGTAAGCTTAGTCATCTTTTACAAAATTAACGCACATGAATGGAAAAAGTATCTTCATTAATATTATAGCGAAATGTTAGTTTTTCAAATTCAGCAGGAACGAAAATGTGGCATTCGAATTTACTGCTCATCAAACACATTTTCAAATTCTAAGTTGATGTTAAACAAACTGTTAACTTGCTATGGCCACTGAATAAATTATTGATTGCTGAGCAATGGTAATTCTATAGCTGTATCATTGTTTATGTAAGAGACATCTGACATGCTGTCTC